GGGAGTTGTGGGCAGAACAGAGATGTGGTCAAGACTGGGCCCGGTCCTCAGGAAGCATTGGGGACCCTGTCAAGGCTCTGAATCTGCAAGACGCCCTCAAGCAGCTCTGCCTGCAGGTGAGGAACCTGGGGCCTCCGTGACAAGATATTAGGCATCATCTTCTGACTTCCAGGCGCACCTCACGTGTCATAAGGATCACTGGGATGTGCAGGACATAAGGAGAGCGCAGAGAGGGGCCAGGGCTCCAGGGGCTCCTGGGAGGCAAAAGCGCCCAGCAGCAGGTGTTCAGTCATTGCCGACGGGCAATGAGTGGCCGTGAGGATGGACAGGAAGGCAGAAGGGCGGCACTGCAGCCTCCGCCGCCCACCCTGCCCTGGAGAAGTGGGTGCCCCTTCCTCCTGCTGACTTGGAGAGGTCAAGTCACCCCCACTGCAGATCCTCAGCCTGTCCCACCTTGCTATCTGGAGCCAAGAAAAAAGCAGTGGAGGCTGGGTGCGGTGGCTAACGCCTGTAATGCCAGCATTTTGGCAGGCCAAGGCAGGAGGACAGCTTCAGTCCAGGAGTTCAAGACCAGCCTGGGCAACACGGTGAAATGTCTCTACAAAAATCAGCCGGGTGTGGTGGTAGGCACCTGTAGTTCCAGCAACTTGGGAGGCTGAGGTGGGAGGACTGCTTGAGCCCAGGAGGCAGAGGGTGCAGTGAGCCAAGATGGCTCCACTACACTCCGGTCTGGGTGACAGAGCGAGACTCCGTCTAAACAAAACAAAACAAAACAAAACAAATCAAAAACAGTGGGGACCAGGCAGAGAAGCTAATGCACTAAAGGCTGTGGTGGGGGTGAGGGGAACATGGCCACGGGGCAGCTGCCGAGAGGAGTGAGCTGGAGGTGAGGATGGCAGTGACAGGGAAACTGCTATCACCGGTGATGGCCTCATGGGGACTAGAGATTGGTGTGGGGAGGGTGGGGTATGTGCTGTCCGCACGATGACAGAGGCAGGCGACATGATGTCAGCAGTGTGGGGGACAGTGACATGCCATGTGACCTCGGGTTGGGGAGAGTGGTGGGGGCTGAGGCCTCAGGAGTTGGGGAGGGAATGGTGGTATGTGTGTGACCTCAGGGGTGGTGGAAGGGGAGAGGGGTTGGGCAGTGACCCCAGTGATGGTGGGGAGGGTGGTGGGGTTGTATCTTTGGAGTCCCATCTCTTCCTCTCACACTGGGGGGGTTAGAGTGGCCACAGGCAGGCGTGAGTGCCCTGGAGGTGGCTAAGGACGCCGCCACAGGCTGTCAGCCTCTCTCCTTGTGCTGAGAAGCTGAGGCTAAACTCAGCTCTCTAAGCTTGTCTGCTACCCGTGGCCTGACCTGGCCCGTCACCTCTCCCATGCACAGCAGCACCACCTAGGTGACCCAGAGCCCCCACTGCCACCTCTGCCACCCTGGCTTGAGGCCTCACTGGGTCTGGGCCCCATGCCCTCTTCTCCTCAGGGCCCCTCCCGGCTGCCCAGCACCCCCGTCCTGGGGGTCTGAATCCCATGGAGCCGGTTTCTCTCTGGAGCTTCGTGGAGCGCCCCCAGTCCCCGCCTTCCGCGGCTCCCCTCCAGGATCAACCCCCGGGCTCTCTGGACCTCCATGTCACGTCTGCAGATGATCCGTGGGTGCTGCCCGCGCTTGAGGACAGCTGTAGCCTCGCCAGCCCACTGGCCATTGTGGCTTACCTCGTACAGGCACAGATCCTGACCATGGCCGTGGGGAACAGGGAAAACACTGCTCTGGGGACTGCGGGAGGGTGCGGTGGGACGAGGGTGTTGGACAGGGCCTGACCCCCAACACCTGCAGGCAGTAGGCATTCACTCGTCTTCTGGAACTGCTGGCTTGAGGTGGCAGGAGGGGCTGGAAAGGGGTGAGGAGGAGAGTGAAGTAGGGGACCCTGCCCTTGGCTCACCTCGGTCTGTCCCCAGCCCCCACAACCCATCTATCCTCGTGCCCCCCAATCCATCCCCAACCCCACTCCCAGCCCTGTCCATCCCCAGGCCCCCGCTCCCACCCCTCCCCGCTCCCTCTTCCTGCGTTAATCCTGCTCACTGCTGACCCAAGCAAAACGGAGTCCGCCTTCTCCCTTCTCGGCAGTTTTCTGTTGGCAAAGCAGAAAGGACGGCAACTCAGGCTCAGCCCAGCCTCCTGCCTGGGGAGCACTCTGAAAATGGAGCATCACTCCGTGGGCCCGGTGCCTGGGCAGGGTGCACACACGGTCCCGGTGCGCCCTCGGCCCCTGCGCTGCTCAACATCCATCGTCGGCCCTGGCTCTGCGTGGGCATGGGGAGTGGGGTCTGGACCATACCGTGGCCTCAGCAGCTCCTGGGCTCCGGCCCCTCCCTCCCAGGCAACATATGCCCGACACACTCAGGCACTCATGGACATGCTGGTGCCGTCCCTGCCCTCGGCCTGTCTGTGACACCGTGACCAAAGTGATAAGGCTGGGCCAGAAAGTGGGGGCTAAGGCCCATGCATGGGGTGTGGCCAGGCCAGGCCATCTGAGGAAGGGACACTAACCCGTCCCTAAAACCCAAAAAGGTGCTAGCCAGAAACGCCCAGGAGTGTGCAAGCAGGACTTCAAGGGAAGAGAATGGGCTCTGCAGACGGCAAGGTGTGGCGCTTTGGGGGGTGAGGCAAGCCCCAACACATGCTGCTGCAGGGACAGCCTCCAGCCAGCCCCTCAGGAAGCCTCAGCCAGTGGCTCTCACCGCACAGCCTGCAGACTGAGCGCTCCCCAGCGGCCAGCCCTGCCTTCCCCTAGCCTTGCCCCGATCCTGCTTTGCTCCCCAGCCTGGGCAGGTGGGACAGGACCCTGACCTGCCGCCTCCTGCTAGGGTAGGCTCAGCACAGGTGCCGCCCTGTGTGCTGGCCCCAGGGGCTGCACTGCCCTCTGGCGGGGCACAGGCCACAACTGGCCCCGGGGGTGAAGCTGCAGGTCCTGCCAGGCCTGGCATCACACCCTTGACTAGTCCCCGAGGCCTCCTAGAGCCTCCTGGAACCATGGTGATGCCTCCCCAACTCCGCCCACCACTGCCAACCCAGCTGCCTGTGTGGACATGCAGTCCCTGGGGGGGCTGGACAGGGTAGTCCCCTGTCCAGCAGGCCCCTGTGCCCAGCAGGCAGCCATCAGCTGCTGCAGGGGTGAGGATGGGATGGGGTGCGGTCCCTTCCCGCAGCCCAGGGGCTATCTGGCAGGACTCCCACAAAGGCCGGAGGGCGTGGTCCAAGCCTGAGGGGCTGGGCTGGTAGGCATCCGCCTTCTGTTCTGGAGTGGGGCTCACTGCTGCCCCGGGAGCAGCCCCAAGTGGCAGGTGGGGAGGGGGACCCCCCTCCTGCCCAGCCCTGCCTTGATTAGAACTCAGGACTCCAGATCCCGGGACCTCCGCCCCCTTCCCCGTGGCCGGCAGTAGGACCTCAGGGCCTCCCACATCGCCACAGCACCCCTGTGCACCAGGCTTCCTCCACTTCACAGGATGGAGGCGGTGACAGGAGCCGGGTCCCAGCCACGTGTGACTCCAGCTGCGAGGCCCCCACTCTGTGGTAGAGGGACCGGATGGCGGGGAGGCAGCCCCAAGGGAGACCCCTGAGGGGGCAGCAGGGGACAAGATGGCCTGGGGCAGACAGCAGGGCCAGGATCACAAGCCCAGGCTTGGTGGCAGCCAGGGGAGGGGTGTGTGTGGGCAAGGGTGGGATGGGTTGGGCGTACCCCAGGGGTCTGCGGTGGGGAGGGGCATGCTCTCCGGGCAAAAGTCCCCTCCCCCAGCCTATGGTGGCCTGGCGCCCACCGTGCAGGAGGCAGGTGGCAGCTCTGTCCCCACCTTGGGTCTGGACAGGCCACAGGAGGTGGGGAGTGCCTGCACTTCCCAGACAGGGCCGCCATCCTGTCATCCCCAATTAGCGCCTAATGGCCTCCTTGATGCACAGTTTTATTAACCAAATTAATATGTGCTGGGGAGACCTGCATGACCTTGGCCCATTCTGCTGAGACAGGGATTTTCCCAGGAGGGCAAATGGGGGACCTGGACCCCCACCCCGGCTCAGGAAGGCTGGGGAGCCCCACCCTCCCGCTCAGGAAGATGGCACCACGGCGCCTGCATCTCTGGGACCCCAAACACCCCACTCGCACCCCCATTTTCCCAGCTGACGCATGAGGGAGGTGGCAGCGCAGGGTCCTGGACCCTGGAACTGGAGCTTGGGATGCAGGGCGGGTTGCTCCCACCTGGGGACCCTTGGAAGGGACTGGATGAGAGGGCAGGGGTCTTGCAGAGCTGGGGGCTGCCTTGCCACCCGGGGTCTGTGCTTCAGCCCTCCCAAGGTGCACCTGCCTGTGCCGCCTCCCAGGGCTGCTGAGCAGGTGGCGGCTGCCCCCTGGTGGCTGCAGGGAATGACTCCCACCAGCCCTGTCCCTTTCAGAACCTGCTGGGCCCTGGGGCCCTTGGTGAGGCCCCCCACTCTGGCTCTGTGGCTCCTCTCGGGTGCAGCTCGGCCCTGCCCTGCTCTGCAGCACTTCCCACCCCCTCCCCTTGGTGCCCAGGTCCTGAGCCCACTGCTGTGGGGGTCCTGGGGGCGGTGCTCCTGCTGACTGCCTTTGGGGGCCATTGTCCACCCAGTCTACAGAGGCCTGGAGGCAGCCCCCACTTCCCCTGCTTGAGACACTGAGAGCTCACAGCCTGTGGAGGCCAGCAGGAACGGCGCAAGCAGGCTGGGGAGGGCTAGGGGCCCGTGCAGGCCCCAGGCTCAGGGAGAGGTGACATGCTCAGGAGCTGGAGGGTGGCGCCTATGCTCGGAGCAGGACAGCAAAGTGGGCAGCAGGGCTGGCAGGCTTAGAGCCAGCATGAGACCTGGGCCATGACACTGGGGACTCCTGGGCAAAGGGGACACTTGCTGGGATGACCAGCACAGCGTGCAGAGGTGGGGAGTCCCTTGCTCTATGCACAGACAGGACAACAGGAGGTATTTTCGGGGAAGGCCGTGTCTGGGACCCGGCCTAGGGGTCTGCGGATGCTGTGGGTGTGCCTGGCTGCTGCGTGGTGGCATGGTGGAGGGGCAGCGAGCGAAGGGGTGCCCAGCAGGAGTCACTGGGCACCAGGCAGAAACTTGGCTGGAGGCAGGACTGAGACCTCAGGGTCTGTGCCCAGGGCAGCAGCAGGGTGGACAGAGCCCGGGGGCACAGACGTGATGACTGAGAGGTGCACCTCCTGTGAGGAGCCCTCAGGGTGGGGCAGCCCCAGGAAGCTGACCTCAGACCGGCAGAGGGACTGGCACCCTTCCTGTGTGTGGGTGAAGAGGCCACAGCTCCCATCACTGGGCTCAGACAGGTCTGACCATAGTCTTTAATGGGCAGGCTGGTGCCCGAGGAAGCCTCCGGCATGAGGCGGGGCAGGCATTGCCCAGAGGTCCTCTGGGTGGGGAGGGCATGCTTGGTGCTTCCCACCAGCTGGAGCCAGGGCTGAGGTGTGCAGGGAGCCTGGCCCTCACAGCCACCCTGGGCACTTCGAGGATGAGGGCAGAGCTGGCTTCACTGGGGCACGGGGCTGGGAGCAGCCTCCAGGCTTGCCCTGCTGGGCTTTTCGGCTCCAGCTGAGGAGGGGCCGGGGGCTGGCCCACGTGGATGCCGGGGTCTTGCAGCCATGCTCCCTCTGGCTGCTTAGAAGCCCCCTGGGGCCCAGCAGGGCGGGTCGGCGGTCCCCCTGTAGCAGGGACAGAGACAGACTGTGGTCAGCCACTGCTGGCCTGTCCCCACCTGCAGCCAGTCTGGGAGGGGTGAGAACCACCTGGGAGGGGCTGGCACACGGGGGGCTTATTTGGGGGCTCCCATCAGGGTGACCACATAGTAGGGGCCCCATGGGTTTCACCCAACCCTGGGTCAACCATGCTGCGTAGATGAAACTTCTGGGATGGAGCACCTGGCCCAGAAGCCTCCAGTCTGAGGATACAGAGGCCCCGTGAGGGGTGGGCTCAGCATCCTCGGGGTCAGGGCAGGAGCCCTCAGATGGAGGCCACAGCACAGGTGGCCCCTGCCCAGGAGGCGGCCCGGGGAGGGTTACCCGCAGCCCCACCTCCCCTTCCCAATGCTGCTCGAGCATCCAGGGCACGCCCAGGGCCAGGGTGGGGACAGCAGGCTGGGCACCACCCCTCCGGGGCCCCCAGGGCTCACCAAGGTGGGCAGCCTAGAGCTGGGCAGCACTGACACCACCTGCAGGCTGGCACCCGCCTCTCCCACAGCCTTCAGCTCCGCCACCACCTCTGCATGTCTCCACCACCTGCACGGCTGCCCGTTCACTGACACAATGTAGTCACCCTCCTTCAGGCCGGCCGCCTGTGGGGAGACTTGGATGGTGAGGCGGGGACAGGACACCCTGGCTGGCACTGGGGACTCAGCCTCAGGGGGCCGGTGGGGCCCTTACCGCGGCCTGGCTCCCTGGAATGACAGCAGCGATGAGGACAGGCGAGTCTCCCCGAAGCGTGAGGCCGAAGCCACCCTCTCCTCGGGTCAGGTGGACGGGCCCCACCAGCCGCCACCGGTTCTTGGCTGAGAACACAGACAGGGGCCCCTGGCGGGGGCTCAGAGGTCAGAGGCCCAGCTGGGCCACACACTGAGGAGACCCCGCCTAACTAGCACGTCCATCCAACCTGTGCACCGAGGGACACCGTGGGGTTCCACAGGGTGGGTGGGCAGGGCTGGACCGCCATCAACGGCCTGAGGCCATGTGCTGGTCAGAGCCACGCAGCCCGAGCTGCCCATGCCTGGGGACAGGTGTGCTCACCAGCCGATGGAAGATGTCAGGCCCCTTCCCCTGGGACAGGCGTGGCGTCCTGGCCTCTGGCTTCTGGTGGGTCTTAGCTGAGAGGGTGGAAGAGCAGAGCTAAGCTGGGAGCCTGTGGAGACCTGCCCCGGGGATTTTCCAGGGCGCAGGGCATGACCCCAAGCGCACACAGGCCCCGCCTCTGACCTCCTGGCCTGGCCGCACTGCAATGGTGGGGGGAGCTGCCCCATGTGCCCTGAACACATGGCCTCCTCTGCCCCAAGTGGCTCCCAGAATCCCTCCCTGAATTCCCAGGCGTGCCTGTCCCGGGTCTGTGGGCTTCCCCTCAGGGTAGGCCAGTGCAGGCAGGGAGGGGCTGAGGGGCGTGGCCATCCCCCAGGCCCCTGAAGGGCCCGGCAGCTCTGTGGGCCTGAGATTGCGGCCTGGAAAGTGCTACTGCTGTTGAATTCATCATGGCGATTGGATCTTTAATGCAATCAGCCTCCCTTTCTCCAGGACGAAGGCCCCCACCCTGGCCGGGGATGCAGCCACCCACACAGGCCCTGGTTGCTCACGCTGGATGTCTGGGGCCTCGGCAGTCTCACAGAAGTCATCCTCACGGTCAAGCTCCGCATACTTGGCCAGTGAGCGCTGCAGCGTCTGGGCGACCACAGCCCGCAGCAGGTCCACCTCTCGCAGGACGCGGCACAGGGCGTGCAGCCGCAGCGCCTCCTCCTGCCCCAGGATGGCGCGCTTCAGGTGTGCCTTGCCTGTACGCGGGGCACTGGGACGTCACACACCATGTGGGCCTGTAGGCCCTGGGACGTGGCAGAAGGAGTGGGCAAAGCCAGGGCTGTGGGGCTCATCACAGCCACTTTTGCTATAGGCGTGTGCCACAGGGGTGAGGAGCTGGCTGTGCAGGAGGGCTCTGCCTCATACAGAGAAGGGGCCAGGGACAAGCTGCTCCCAGGGGTCTCCCACCTGCTCAGAGGCTGCCAGCACTCCTGGGGCCCCTGTGCTGGACCGTCACCCATCAGGCACAGGGCATCCAGGGATAGGTAGGTGGCCCAACTCGTTAGCATGGGGACACCAGGTGGCAAACAGCGTGAGGGTGGTGGGGGGGTCACCCTGCCACTGTTGGTGACCATCTGAGCCCCCAGGGCCCTCCATCCATGGGCACCTTACCAAGCTGCCTGCGCTCCTCCAGCTCCTGCGGCAGCACGGGGCCTTGGGGCTTGCAGGAGGTGGGGGGCTGGAGGAAGACCTGCTCGTGTGTGGGGAGCTCTCCCTCGGTTGCTGCTGGGGGACAGAGAGGCCATGAGCCCTGAGCGGGGGGCCTTTGCAGCATCATGGGCAAGTGCGGTGGGCACTCACGGGAGCCGTCGCAGAGGGCCATGGCTACGTGGTAGTGGGCCAGGGAGCGGAAGTACTCGGCCTTGACATGCACCAGGGCAGTCCAGGAGACGGGCATGTAGTCGTGGATGGGTGGCTGGGCCATGGTCTGGTGCACTAGTCTGTACTCGGCTGCCACCTGCCGGTGGACATGGCAGGCACGCGAGGGCCTCCCGCTCTCCGGTGGTGACTGCTTCTCCCTACCCAGCCTCCACCCGCTCTGACCACCATCCCAGCAGCCTCCCTGGCACCCCAGTTCCTGCCGCTTCATGCTATTCCCTGGAGGCAGAGGCTTGGGCGCCCAGGTTCCTGACCAGCCCCACCGGGAGCAGGACAACAGCCGGCTTGGGGCTGACACACAAGGAAGGAGGCGGGAGAGCTCACGCTTGCCTGGACCTGGGCTCTGGCCCCAGCTCAGCCCCACCCTCTGCACCCTGACACGGGTGCCTGAGCTCACCTGGGCAGCCTCCTGCGCCAGGCGCAGCTGGGCCAGGCAGTCTTGGGGGGCCATGGAGGCAGGGGGTGAGAGGCCCTCAAACACACATTCCTGGGCCTGGGCCATCATGAGCTGCTCCAGTGCGCAGAGGGACGCAGGGCTCATGTCTGGGCTCGGCGCATGGGAGAAGTTCTCCCTCAGGAGGCTGAAGGTCCCTGCGGGGGGGGGGGGGGTGGTGCTCACACAGGCAGGGCCCTGACCTACCCATCTCTGCCCCATGCAGCACTCAGGGAGGCCAGCTAGGGCCGCTCCTGGGACACGCATGGGCCTGATGTGCTCAGCCCCCCTACCTGAGGGACGGACATCCTAACCACCCCCCAGCTCCTGCCCTGCAGAAGGGGCTCTGCAACACCCTGGCACCACACCCTGTCCCCCCACGGCCTGGGCCGCCCTCACCAGCGGCCCTCTGGAAGGCCTCCACAGCGCGGTGGGCACCCTCGGCGCAGGAGCGGTTCTGGCGCGCCCCAATCTGCGTGTGGAGGGCGCCGATGTTGAAGAGAACGCTGCCCTTCTCGAAGGCCAGGGCGCGCTGCTGGGCCGGGACCCCAGTAAGCGAGTCGTACCTGCAGTGTCAGGTCAGGCTGGGCGGAGTTCCCACAGTTCCCGAGGCCAGGCCTCCCCTCCCCAGGGTGCCCCCGCCCGCAGAGCCCCTACCAGTGGAAGAAGAGCCCGAGGCTCCTGGCAGGGGTGAGGAAGCGCGCGTCCAGGAAGCACAGCTGGTTATAGTAGGCTGTGAGCAGCTCCAGGCCCGCCTCGTTCCGGCTGGGGGTCCGCATGGCCTGCAGGGCAGGAGCCGCTGGGCCCCACCGCCCTGGCCCATCCCACTCTCACACACTGCCCTGGGAAGTCCCGTGGGCATCAGCACCATGGGGGGCGGGGAGGCAAAGCCAGCGGGGCCCTGGGCAGCCGCAACTCCCAAAGGCTAGCAGCGTGCGGCACCGGGGCCACCTGCCAACCCCTCGACATGCCCCGGCTGGGTCTGCGCACACAGGGTCCTTGGTGCGCCCGTCTCCCCACATCCTCCAGACGTCCACACTGAGCTCCGCCGTCTGTGCCTGACTTAAGCCTCAGCCTCTGCATGTGTCTCCTAGGACTGCAGGAGGGTGGGCGGGCGGGGGAACCACACACCTGCCGCAGGGCCTCCAGCTCTCTGATTTCTGCCTCGTAGGAAGTGCCGTCCTCTCCAAAGTGCACCGAGATCAGCTCCTGATGGGGGGCAGGTGTTGGCATCCACAGTACCCCTGTGCCTGGCATCCTTCCCTGAGGTCTCCCAACCCACCGTGGAGAAAGACTCATGGTGGAGGAGGGCTGTGTCGCACAGCAGGCTGGCTGCCATGCAGGTTGGGGGCTCTGGGCCCCTCAGGAGAAGCCCTAGAGAAGGGCTGGGGCCAACTGTACGGAGGGACCTGGTGGGTTGATGCAGCTTGGAGCCCCTCTGGCCCTGGGGTTTCCCATCACAGAGGTGGCGCCTGGAGACTCAGCGCTACTTTTATGTGCATTTCCTTATTCATCCCCATGGCCGGGAGGCAGGTGCCATCTGCCACTCAGTGACTCCAACACTGAACACAGTCAGTGGCTCCTGCAGGGCCCTGCCGGGCAGTGCCAGTCTGTTCTGGGGTCTGAGCCCTCTCCAGGACCCTCATGAGTCAGTGCTGGGTGTGTGGTCCCAAGCCGGTGGTGCCCTCTGTGGGCGAATCTGGACCCTGTGCCCCGGCTGGGGCTTCCAGGCCCCATCCTCTTAGGGCATTGCCTGTCCGAGGGCAGGCCATGTGTTCATACCCACTCTATGGGATCAGCCCCAGCCTGGGGCGCAGGCACCAGTGTGGGCCCTGAACGCAGCAGAGGCTGGGTCTCTGTGGCCACTTCTGCCAGGTCCCTGGTGTCCCTTTCAGCCCTCCCTCCCTCTGGGCCTCAGTTTCCCTATCTGTTCAATGAGACAGCTGGACCAGGAAGCCTCCAAGACCCCCTTGGTCCCAGGGCAGGGCTGTGTCCCTCAGAGCTTGTAGGCCAGTGCCTACCTTCAGTGGTGTAGACCAGTCCAGCTCCTTGGTCTCCTTCAGGCCCAGGGGGATCATGGGGACAGTGACAGCTTCACTACAACCAGAAGCATCAACTTCAGACTGTAAGGCCAAACCCTGCTGCACACGGCAGCCGGGGGTCCACTCCTAGGGCTCTGTGGCACAGGGTGCCTCCCTCCCTCATGGGTGCACACGTGCGCCTGTGTCCTGCGGGGTGTCCTTGCACCTGCGCACCCCACCACCATCCTAAACCGCTCCAGAAGCACGTGCACACACATGCATGCGTGCGCGCTGTCCCGGCCCCCATCCGCACCTCCCATGCTGGCCAGGGTCCAACACACATACACACATGCACGCGTGCGCGCTGTCCCGGCCCCCATCCGCACCTCCCATGCTGGCCAGGGTCCACACCACCGCTGAGCTCCTCCAGCTCCTCTTTCAGCAGCTGCAGGTTGGAGTTGACGTAGCTCAGCTCCAGGGCGACCGTCTCTCTCACCCGGTTGTTGCTGGTGGCTCTGAGGGAGGCCGTGGCAGTTGAAAGCCCAGCCCCAAGGTAGAGCCAAAGGCCCCGTGCCCACTGCCGCCCTCCTGCCAGCTGATCTGTCGGAGCTCCGAGCCCACCCTGCAGAGGATGTCGCTGATGGGGTCTGTCCCCCATGGGTGGGGCAGGTGCAACAGTGGCATCCGGGGGCTCACAGGTGATACCCCCTACAGTTCATCACCCCGACCCCAGCACCTGCATGTTCTGACTCTGGCCTGTGGGCACCTCCCTCAGCGCCATGGCTTTCTTTGGGGCTCATACAGCCCTCGACAGCACTCAAACACCACTTCCTTGGATGGTGGGTGAGAGCCACACCCCTCTCTGTGCCTGTATCAGGGCCCGGCAAAGGGACCAGGGGTCCCCAAAGAAGGCCAGGATGGGGGCAGGGAGGCAGCAGGTGCTAAGGGTACTGAAGGGCACTCACACACACACGTGCGGCTCACACGTGGCGTGCTCTGAGGAACAGGCAGCTCGGGTCTTCCACCCCTCTCCCAGGTCCCCAACCTTGGGATGCGCCGTCACCTGCCACAGCTCAGCCTCAACCATGGCTCTTCTGAGAAGCCCCCACGTGCACTGTTGGGGCTTCCCAAGCTGCACACCCGGCAGGGACACTGGTTTCCTGGCACCTCCGGCCCAGCACAGAGGTCCGTGAAGGCAGGTCTGTGAGGGTCATGGCTGGGCATCACGTGTACTGTGTGCCCCCCAGGACCCATCTGCTCATGCCCCTGTCTCCCTGACCCGGCCATGGGGCAGACACCTGCCTGGGTGGCTGTCCTGCCCCCCTCACCCAGGTCAGCCCTGCTCCTGGGGCCGGGTGGCCTCAGGCACTCACCTGTAGAGGTTCTCAGCACCCGTCCGCATCTGCAGCTCCTTGTCAATCTGCTGGTGAATCCGGGCCCTGCGGCTCTGCAGCTGGCCGCACTGCATCTGCACCAGGGAGTCACAGCCCTGCAGGGAGGCCACAGGGGATCACGGCCCGACCCTGTGGAGCCCGCACCAGGCTGTGCCTCGCCAGCCACTGAGAGGAGTGCAGCCTGCCCAAGGGTAACGGGGTGGCCTCCATGGGCTGGGGCTGGAGCTGACTTCACAAGGAGGGGCTGGACAGAGCCAGTGTGAATATGGGCCCAGCCAGAGCAGGGCCAGGAGGCAGTCAGTGCAGAAGGACGTGGTGTGGGGGGATGCTGCTGACTTGTGACGGGGGTTGGGAGGGGAGGCTGGCACCTGCCAAGGACACCAGGAGCGAGGGCCTCACCAGGCGGCCTGGACAAGTAGGGCTCCAGGAGCTCTGCAGGGGGCGGCCTGCTGCCCCTCACAATAGGATTCTTCTGGGTCTCCTTCTGCACTTCTGGATTTCATTCTGGGATCCCCCCCAATTTTTTTCCATCCAATTCACCCACGCCTCCCAACCATTCCCGTGTGGGTTTAGGTGTGGGCTCAAAGGACAGCGTCCCTGAGGCTCTGGGGGCAGCCACTGGCACCCGATGGTTGGTGCAGAGGCTGCAGTCCGACTTTGGGAATGGTTCTCGAAGTGAACGCAGACCTGTGCACTCCCCATCCACAGAGAAGAGACTCTGAGCCTTGTACCCACAGATTGCACCCCCACGGCCCTGCCCAGCACCACCCATGGCGAAAGAGCAGGGCATGCCCGGCAGGGCCCCTTCTGGACTTTCATGGCTCCTGTGTCTTCTTAAGTGGTGCGAATCTGCTGGGGCTTAAATTTCACTCCAGGGTGATCCAGTTTCATGCCTCAGCCTACCCCATCCTTGTGGTGTTGGGGTCCTGCCTGTGCGATCCTCATGTGTCCCTCCCTCTCACCATGCCCCTCCCCCCAGCTCTTCCCCATGGCTGCGTGGGAATGCCTGGGTCTCCACCCCGACAAGATTCTTTGCAGCTACCTGTGGCTGTTCTCTGGGTGGGCTCCCAGGCGTGGGCCGGCTGGCTTGCCTCTCCAGCACCCACTCCTTCCAGGCTTTGAGACCCACAGTGCTGCTCAGGGCTCGCTGCTCAGGGACACTGACTCCCACCCAGCCCTTGGGTGAGCCTGGTCTGTGTCAGGTGCGGCCATCTGGCCATTTCTGCCAGTCAGCAGCAAGACAAGGCCTCTGGTGGCTCCTGGGACTGCTTCCCGCCCTTGTCGGGAGACAGGACCTCTTCTGTCCCAGGACCTTGTCGTGTCTGAAGATGAATCCTGCCACCATGAAACTGACCCGACACTGCATGAAGCTGCGGATTCATGGGGCCAACGTGCACATGGCACTGGGTCTTCCCCTCTGTGGACCTGGCACCCTCTCCACGCACACACGTCTCTCAGGCCTTTCCGTCTTCCCCGTAAAGAGCTCACATGTGTTTTCCTGGGTTTCCCCTAGATATCTACAGAGAGTTATTTTTGCTAATGTGAATGAGACCTTTGTCTGCATTGTAATTAGTTTATTCCCATTATACAGGAATGATTTGATTTCCTAGACAGAAGGCCTGCTCGTCCTGCCCCCCAAGCTCACAGCAGCCAGCTGAGCGGGTGACCATCTATTATGGGTGAATTGTGTCCCCACAAAAGACAGGTTCAAGTCCTAACTCCCAGTACATGTGAGTGCAATTTGTCTAGAAATAGGGTCTTTGCAGATATAATGAGTTAAGATGAGGCCACCCTGGAGTAGGGGGGGTCCTTAATCGCAGTGACAAGGGTCCTTATAAGAGATGGGAAATGTGAACACAGCCACATGGAAGTGGCCATAGGAAGGCAGAGACAGACTGGAGGATAAGGCACCGTCCCTTGGAACCCACACCATCCCCAAACCCCTGCACTGTCCCTCGGAACCCACACCACCCCAAACCCCTGCGCTATCCCCTGGAACCCACACCATCCCCCAAACCCCTGCGCTGTCCCCTGGAACCCACACCATCCCCCAAACCCCTGCGCTATCCCCTGGAACCCACACCATCCCCAAACCCCTGCGCTGTCCCCTGGACTATCCCCTGAACCCACACCATCCCCAAACCCCTGCGTCATCCCCTGAACCCACACCATCCCCAAACCCCGCGCTGTCCCCCTGAACCCACACCATCCCCAAACTCCCCTGCGCTGTCCCCTGGAACCCACACCATCCCCAAACCCCCTGCACTATCCCCTGAACCCACACCACCCCTGAAACCCCCTGCGCTGTCCCCTGAACCCACACCATCCCCAAACCCCTGCGCTATCCCCTGAACCCACACCATCCCCAAACCCCTGCGCTATCCCCTGGAACCCACACCACCCCCCAAACTCCCACGCCGTTCCCTGGACACCCGTGCCGTCCACCAGACACCTGTGCCATCCTCCAAACCCCTGCGCCGTCTGCTGGACACCTGTGCCATCCCCTGGACACCCACACCAGCAGCCTCCTGCTAAGTGCTGGGGGTGAGGGAGCCTGATGGAGCTCCCCGAACTGAAGATGAGCCGGTGCTTAGGGGCTGGGGGGAGGGACACAAGCGCTAAAGGGCCAAAGCAGAGAGGCCATGGTGGCTGGGAGGAGGGTGTGCTGGCCCAGGACGCTGGCCTCCCCCCAGCCGAGCTCTGTCCCCGTGGACACCACCCAGCAGGGGACGGGCCAATGTGCACTTGGGAACCCTCATCCTGCTCCCGTTTCCCACTCCCGCCTCCTCCAGAAAAGAAATTCCCTCCAGAGCTGCTTCAGGGGCTCAGGCTGGAGAGGCCCACAGGTGGGAGAGGCACGGGCGCCTCAGATCTGAGAAGCTGCCTGAACTTGAGGCCTGCCCACCCCCGCCTCCCATCCCTATCTTTCCCACCTGCACTACCACCTTGAGGGCCTCTGCCCAGTACCTAGGAGACCCCCGTGCCACCCACTGCACTACACCCCTCCCTGCAAAGGCCCCACTGCAAGGCTCCAGTGGCTTTAAGGGCTCTGGCTGTGCAACGGGCATCAGACACCCAGCCAGGTCCCTGCTCCCCTCCTGGCCCCAGGAGAGCTGTGGGGAGCCTGGCCCCTCAGAGCCCCACAGGCACCTGCCGTGGCCCTGGGCCATTCCTCGGCCTCCCCACCTGCAGTGCTCCCTGCTGGCCAAGTGACTTCCTGGCCTACATGGGGATGAGCAGACCCGAGCTGGACCTTTGAGGCTGGGTAGACCTTGGAGGGGGAGGCCCATGCCCCACTTTCCACACTGGGCTGAAGGTTGTGCCCAGCAGAAGGGGCGTGGACACAGGTGTTCAGCCCCCTGCTCCTGCTACACCCTCCCATCCTCTGGAGACAAAGGTGACCTGGAGCCCCCCCACCCCCACCCCCACGGTGCCCTGACACCCTACTGTGACCATTTCCACCTTGCATTAGGAAGGAACAGAGAGGCTATGGTCTGCGGGGGTCCCGAGAGGCAGCCACACATGAAGGGCCTGGCCGTGCATTGATGGAGAGGGACGGAGAACAGAGAAACAGTCCCCTAACCCTGACAGTGGGGCTCCTCTACCCGTGAGGAAACAGTGTGGCCGTGGCCAGAATGGGTCTGACCTGGGGACTGGCATAATGTGGAGACAGTTATCCCAGCCCAGATCTGGGAACAGCAAAACATCAGAGCAGGGCCAGACCTCCACCCTCCCCCAGGATCCCCTGGCCCTGGGCCAGGCAGTCCCCAGGCAGAGGCCACCCACCTGGAGCAAACCAGCTTCTTCCCCTCAGAGCCCTGGCCCTGGGCACCCTGTCTGCTGACACCCACCCATCTCAGGGATCCCTCTCCTCTGCCCCCACTGAAGTCTCACCTGAATGCAAGAACCGGAAGCTCCAGGAGGGTGGACACATAGCACCTACCCGACCCACCATCTCTGCCCCCCACTGATGAGGGAGCAGAATTCAATGGGCATTGGCGCACAGGGGTCTCCTGGGATGCGGGGCTACAAGCAGCACGCACGCCAGAGGGATCACAGACTGGCCACTCACGCCAGGGACCCCCACTCTCTCTGATGCTCCCTGGGGCACCCAGGCGCTGGTGGTTCCTGAGCGCCCCTCTTCCTGGAGCCCAATCTACCTGGGCAGGGGCCTGGGAATCCCTTTGTAACCAGCACCCAGAGGGTGCTCCTGTCCAGCCAGGCCAGGGAACCTCAGGCTGACCCACTCGGCATGCTGGAGACCAGGCAAGGGGGGCACAGTCACCCTGCCCACCTGCTGCTCCAACGCTCTCCCTCATCAGCCCGCTCCCCCTTCTCTCACTGGCCTCCCTTGACCTCCCGAGGAAACCACAGGACCTGCATCCAGCCAGGCTGTATTCTCTGTGGTCCTCCCCCGGGAGCTCCTGCAGCCCCTGTGGGAGGGATGGCAGCTGGGTTGGCCGCCCTGGGCCGTGCCAGGCTTCTCCCCTTACCAGCTTGGCAGCCTTGGCCACTTATTCACCCTGTTCCTCAGACGGGCTGAGGCCCAGGGCTTGGGAGGCACCGATGGCAGGACTCCAGCTGCGGCTCTGGCCCCGGCACCAGGTAAGCGCTAGCGCAAAGCACACTCTCATCATACCCGGGGCAAATACAAGTCACCCAGACCCGTCCACAGGGCCTCAGGCCCAGGCGTGGTCTCTAAGCCGAGGAATGACCGACCCCTGACCACTGAACTCCGAGCATTAGGGCCAGTTTGGGGGCCAGCCTGATGGGGGTAGAACAGGCCTCACTCCAGCCTGGCCGCAGGCATCAGGGAAGACCTTCCAGATGGCAGGACGGCCTGAGTGGTGTGTGTGTGACACAGGGCCTGCCCCCGCTCCCCGGCCACCTCCCACAGACCCCTCCCCAGTACCCTGACTGCAGGGTCATTTCTGGACACTGCGAGAGACATGGCAGCCTGGAAACAGCTTCTCCCCGACTTTCCAAGGTGACAGCCCAGGGAGGGCCAGGACAGAGAGCCCGGGCACAGCCCCCAGCCTGAAAAGCGTCACCTCCAGAGCCCTCTGGGACATCTTGTTTGTACAGCCTCCCAAACATTCCACCCAAAACAACTTTGCTGTCCCAGGCCACCTGCAGGCATGGCCGCCCTGCCAGAGCGAGTTCACAGGGGTCAGGCAAAGGCTGCCTCTCCCTCCAGTGCCCAGGAGGTGCTGCAGCCTCTTGCACGCCTAGGGGTGGGCAGGAAGGGAGTCCTTGAGGGCTATGGTCAGCATCGGCAGCTCAGTGACCTGAAGTCAAGCCTTGGCTGATAACACTGCCTCCTCCTCTAAGAGACCTGAGTCCAGACATGGAAGCTGAGTAGAACCAGGGACAACGTAGTCCGATGTCCCAGAGGGGAGGAGGGCCAGGTGCTATCAAAGGCTCACCTGGGGCGAGGAGCAGGAGCAGCCCCCCGCCGAAAGCCCACGACGGGCATGGGCGCCCAGAGCCTGGCAGGAGCACTGGGACAGCCTCGAGCTGGTCCGCAGGGAACACGCAGGCTCTGGACTGCAGAGCAAGGCCCACAGACGTCCCCTCCTTCCCGGGCAGAGACTCAGCAGGTCTCCATAGCCCTGCCCATCCCCCCCACTTGCCCAGTCAGCGCCCCGGGTTAGGGACTTCAGAAGGGGAGGAGGTTTGGGAAGTGAGGAGAGGACAGCCGGGAAGACCTCTCTCGATTTCCCATACCCAGGAGGCTTCGCTGCCTGCAGCTACCAGTGCACCCAATGGGCACGCAGTTCCTGAGCAGTGCAGAGGGAGGACCGAGCTAGGGAAGGAGGCTATACAGGTGCCGCAAAGGAACACGACGGCGGGTGTGGCGAGGGCGCTCACAGAGCCCAGGCCCACACCCGCCCAGAAGGGGGCCACGAGGAGGGCGTCCCCCGACCCGCTTCAGCGATGAGGATGATCCAGACTTTGGCTCCCCGCATTTCCTGGCTCACATGAGTGGCCTGGAAGCACCTCCACCGAGCTCAGAGGAGGAGGGACGCAGGCTCTGGCCTCAGTTTCCCTGCCTGCGTCCGGGCCAAGTGAGACGTGGGAGGGGGGTGCCCGGAACGCGCTTCGAGTGGGGGCAGGAAAGGGCCGGGATTCCGGGCCCCTCCTCCCGCCACCGCGCCAGTGCTGCGCACCTGCAGCCGCGAACTCTCTTCGCCGGCGCCCGCGCCGTCCGGCCTCTCCTCCAGGATCATCGCCGCGCCCGCCGCGCTGGGGGTCCTTCGGAGTCAGCCTCTCGAGCAGCGCTCCGCAGCCGGACCAGGGCCTCCCGCACCACCCGGGCCGCGGGCTACTCAGTGCCCGCGCGGGTCCCCGACTGTCCCTCCTAGGTGGGGGTGGCCCGCTGCGCGGCTGGGCGTGGCACGGGTCCGGCTTGCCAAGCAGGCCGTTGCCCAATAGGCGGCAATGCCGCTTCGACGGACAGCTATGTCAGCCAACCAGAGCTCTAGGAAGGCGGGCTCTGGACGGCCAGCCCCGCTTGCCCGAGGGACGGTAACCCCTGGCAACCGAGGCCTGAACGCCCGCGGCCGGCTGGCAGGTTGTACTGCGCATGCGCCGCAGCTGCCGCAGAGCTTGCGGGAGAAGTTCGGGAAACGGAGGAAAAACTCTACGGAACGTCCCAAGCTGAGAGTCAGAGCGGACCTGGCTTCGGCGCGCCCGGCTCCTGGGCTCCCTTTGCGGGGACTCCAGGAGTCTGCCAGGCCGCGCCGTTTCGTCCCGTCACCCCGGCAACGGGACCCTCTAAGAGGCTTGTTCCAAAAATGTTCACAATGGGGTTTTTAAAAACGGTTTTGTTAGGGACAAGTGCTTGTGTGAGTTCTCCGACAATGCCTGCTTTCTTCTCTCTGCCCGCGGAGCGGAGGCTCCAGGCCTGGCCCCAGTCCGAGGTGCGTCTGTCGGTGGCGTCCTGCTTCCAAAATCGGCCTCCAGAACCCGCCTCCTTCCAGAATCCGCCTCCTTCCAGAACCTCCGTCCAGAACCCGCCGCCTTTCAGAACCTCCTTCCAGAATCCGCCGCCTTCCAGAACCTCAGTCCAGAACCCGCCTCCTTCCAGAACCTCCGTCCAGAACCCGCCTCCTTCCAGAACCTCCATCCAGACTCCGCCTCCTTCCAGAACCTCGGTACAGAACCCACCTCCTTCTAGCACCTATCTCTGGAACCCACGTGCTTTCAGAACTACCTGTTTGTAGAACTTGTTTCCAGAACGAACCTGCTTTCTGAATCTCTTTACTTCCAGAGCTTGCTTCCTGGACTGATCTGTTTTCAGAACCTACTTTCAGAACCAGCTTGCCTCCAGGACCACCTGCTTGGAGAACTGGCCTGCAACCCCAGGACTGGAAGCCTTGAGCCCGCACTGCTCCCTGCGGGGCTCACCCGGCTGTGTGTGTCCTTCCCGGCCTTCCATACTTCCCTAGGTGTCTGGTGACTTCGGAGCCCGCTCAGATTTCATGTGGGTCTCCTTAGCTCAGAACACAACCTTTGAAGGGAAGGAAGGCCAGGGCACAGATGGTAACCACGGCTCCTGTTCATCAAGTTCCTCTGAAGCCCAGGCCTTATCCATGTTGACTGCCCCACCACAGGCCCAGCCGAGCCTGGGAGCTGAGTCCTGGGCTCATTCTCGTGCCTGTGCGCCCCACCCCACAACAAGCACACATGAGCCTGTCATCCCCAGATCTCAATCCTGAAGGCTAAGCTCCGTGGTCTGCCGCAGCCATCTATCTGCAGCAGGCTCCTCCCACCAACAGTCTTCTTTTTTTTTTTTTTTTTTTTTTTTGGAGGGGCTCTCCCCCTTTCCCCCCGGGGGGGGGCCGGGGGCGGGCCCTCCCCCAACGCAAACTGAGACGGAGTCTCGCTCTGTCGCCCAGGCTGGAGTGCAGTGGCCGGATCTCAGCTCACTGCAAGCTCCGCCTCCCGGGTTTCGCCATTCTCCTGCCTCAGCCTCCCGAGTAGCTGGGACTACAGGCGCCCGCCACCTCGCCCGGCTATTTTTTGTATTTTTAGTAGAGGCCGGGGTTTCACTGTGTTAGCCAGGATGGACTCGATCTCCTGACCTCGTGATCCGCCGTCTCGGCCTCCCAAAGTGCTGGGATTACAGAAAGGCAGAGCCACCACGCCCGGCTCAACAGTCTTCTTATGAGGCCCCTGCTGGTCGCGCCGAACCTCCTGGCCAGGCCTGTCCTCCTCCTGGCCTTTTAGACAGAGTCTCACTCTGTTGCCCAGGCTGGAGTGCAGGGCACGATCACAGCTCACTGCAACCTCCACCTCCTGGGCTCATGTGATCCTCCTCAGCCTCCTGAGTAGCAGGACTACAGGCTTGCACCACCACACCTGGCTAAGTTTTGTATATTTTGTAGAGACAGGGTTTCGCCATGTTGCCCAGCAATTCATCTGCCTTGACCTCCCAAAGGTGCTGGGATTACAGGGATGAGCCACCACACTTTCTCGGCCTTTTTTCTTTCTCCTCGTCTTTGGGGCCCTTGAGCGTCTGCTTGTATTTTTTAGTAGAGACGGGGTTTCACTGTGTTAGCCAGGATGGACTCGATCTCCTGACCTCGTGATCCGCCCGTCTCGGCCTCCCAAAGTGCTGGGATTACAGGCTTGAGCCACCACGCCCGGCTCAACAGTCTTCTTATGAGGCCCCTGCTGGTCGCGCCGAACCTCCTGGCCAAGGCCTGTCCTCCACTCCTGGCCTTTTGAGACAGGGTCTCACTCTGTTGCCCAGGCTGGAGTGCAGTGGCACGATCACAGCTCACTGCAGCCTCCACCTCCTGGGCTCATGTGATCCTCCCACCTCAGCCTCCTGAGTAGCTGGGACTACAGGCTTGCACCACCACACCTGGCTAAGTTTTGTATATTTTGTAGAGACAGGGTTTCGCCATGTTGCCCAGCAATTCGTCTGCCTTGACCTCCCAAAGGTGCTGGGATTACAGGGATGAGCCACCACACTCGGCCTTTTTTTTTTTTTCTTTCTCCTCGCCTTTTGGGGCCCTTGAAGCGTCTGCTCCCTGGGAGTCCTTCAGCTTGTCGTCCGCCTGGTGAGTTCCCACCTGTCCTTCTCACTTCTGCCTGAATCACACAGGCTAGGTGAGACCTTCACCTGCCCCCTTCACCAGCAGCTCTGTGGCCCAAGTTTCCTCAAGGGCAGGGGCTCCTGGCCATCTTAGTCGCGGACCTGAGCATGGGCTGATGCTTCCACAGTTCACACTGGGTGCACTTGTGTGGGGACTTCCACGGGAGTCATCTCCTTGCAGGCTACCGAGGTCCTGTACCAGCAGAGACCCAAACTCTCTTAGCAGTCTTCAGAGTCTGCTGTGTGTACAGGAGGCTAATTACCGTATTAGCGGCCTTCAGCAAGCATGTGTGACTGAAATGGTATCCAGTTCTTACATATTTGTTTGCTCAGCAGTTTTGCAGGTTTCTTGGTTCAGCAGACAGAGGCCATTGGGAGGTTAAGAGCGGCTCTCAAATTTTGAGGGTCATAAGACTTCCCCTCCCTGCAGGGTGCTGTTTCCTGAAGCAAAATATTCAACTATTTTATTGATTGATTGATTGATTGATTGATTGAGATGAAGTTGTGCTCTTGTCACCTAGGCTGGAGTGCAGAGGCGCAATCTCGGCTCACTGCAATCTCCACCTCTGGGGTTCAGTCAATTCTCATACTTCCGCCTCCTGAGTAGCTGGGATTACAGGTGTGCGCCACCACACCTGGCTAATTTTTGTATTTTTAATAGAGACGGGGTTTCATCATGTTGACCAGGCTGGTCTTGCACTCCTGAACTACTCAAGCGATCTGCCTGGCTCGGCCTCCTAAAGTGCTGGGATTACAGGCATGAGCCACCGTGCCCGGCCACTGAAGGAAAATATTCTAAATGTGAATGTTATGCTCAGCTAAAATCAGGTTGGGGAGTACAATAAGGATATTTTCAGCTGTGGAATATATTCACAGGTTTTTCTTGCCCGTTCAACCTCTTTCTCAGGAAGCCACTGGAAGATAAGCGCCAACAAAATGAGGGATTAAAGCAGCGATCGGGTGGGGAGGAGCCCTGATTTTAGCATTTGCTGATTTCCTTGGTGTAATTACGCCCACCAAGGCCGGTTTCACGCTGATGAAGTGAAGTTAGTGGACAGGGTTGGGAAGAGGCGGCGTGCCAGCCGGCACCGGCACACTGCTGGATTAAAGCAAGGACGGATAAGACCCGGAGACAGGAGCCAGGCACCCCACCCAGCAGTGGGGCTGCAGGAAATGTTTGCAGTGAAGGAAGTTCCCAGGAGTTGGGAGCAGCCGGGCTGGTGGGCAGCAGGTCAGAAGCCTATTCTCCAAGAAGATGAAATGGAGGGACTCCCTGATTATCTGAGCACACTGACAGGAGACTTGGTCAGCTGCCAGCAAGCTTGGGTGGAACTAGTGAACAGCACTGTGAGATGAGGATTATATAGATACAGGTTTTAGTCCAGGGCTCTTGACTCCTAACTCCCATAACCCTCATTACGGTCATGTGTTACAATGCTGGGGCGCTTTAGACCTCAGGAAACAGAATCTCTTTCTCTGACCTTCTGTCCTCCTTTCACCTGTCCAAGGCAGGACTCTCATCTGTGGGTCAGAAGACCCTCATTCCAGAGAAGGTTCTGCCTCGTACCTTGGAGGAAAGAATGCTACACAAAGGGGCCAAGAAAGTCTCAAAATACAGGCCTTGCTGGGTTTAGATAATGCACTTTTTGTTCATTTATATTAATAAACAGTTGTCAGACATGCCTATGTAATGAACCCTCCACAAAACCCCCACAGGACAGGGTTCAGGGCTTCTGGAGAGCTGAGTGTGTGGATGCTTCTGGAGGGTGGTAGACCCAGGGAGGGCATGGAGCTCCACGCCCCTTGCCCCATATCTGGAATCCCAGCACTTTGGGAGGCCGAGGCAGGAGGGTTTTTTGAGGTCACGAATTGGAGGCTGCTGTGAGCTCTCATCATGCCACTGCACCCTCAGCCTGGGACATGAGCGAGACCCTGTCTCAAAAAACAAAAGTTGCATATTACCTAAAATGTAACTAGAAAGTAAATTAAATAAAATTTATAGAATATAACCAAAGGAAATGCTGTAACCTTAAGTGATTTTACTGCATATATACACACAACAATTAACCAAATGAGAAGACAGTAGGAGGAGTTGGCCGGGCGCGGTGGCTCACGCCTGTAATCCCAGCACTTGGGGAGGCCGAGGCGGGCAGATCATGACATCAGGAGATCAAGACCATCCTGGCTAACATGGTGAAACCCTGTCTCTACTAAGAATACAAAAAATT